ATCCTCCTTGACGAACCGTAGCCGTGGATCTGTGGAGAGAGGCGGTTGTGAGTCTGAAAGCCACTGAGGGTCTGCTGCAGGCCCATCAAGGATCGCTAGGACGGCTTCAAGGATCTCCGGAGAATAGTCCAAGAAGACCACTGCAGCCCCAAGAAAGTCTAGCAACACCCCTCTGATCCAATTGCCTGTTAGTTGATCATCAACCGCGGATGTCAACCCGACTTTAGTCGCCAATGCGACGATCGTGTCGAAGACAACTTCCTTCATGACATCTGAGGTCAAAGCATTAATGGAATCATCGATAGTGAAGTTCAATGTCCGTGCGCGATCAAGTAAATCCTCATACAGAGAAGACTCGGATGACCGGCCAACATTTGAGTCGGGTGTATTGGACTGAAAGGAATCAACCGCACTATGAAACTGCTCTAGCTCGCGGGTCTCCCTGTCTTCGAATGCGAGTTCTCGCATGGTGTGTAAAATCATGCCCCACGCGAATGCGGCCGGATTAGCAGTCTTGCATTCAATTCCTTCAGAGAGAAACATTTCGTGGATTTGGCCGAGCTCCTCCTTGCCCAAGAAATAAGGAGTTTTAGACGATTCGGGGTTCTTGCCCTTCGTGAACGTCCTGTTCATGAGTGAAGGAATCGACAACTGGAGCTTAAGAAGTGCTATAGTGGTTAGAGAGACAAAGCCCTGAAGAGGCACCAACACTTCCAGGGGATCCTGGCATGGCTTCAACCAGTCAGTACATGTCTAATTTCTGAGGCGCACAAAGAAACTCACAATGACAAGGGGCTCTAAAAAGCTATACTCAACCATCAGCTTGAGCCAAGAGAGCACGAGCTTGGCGGATGGAATCTCCGTGGAGGCCTGGAGCTGGTAAAATAATATCTGCACGATATGAAGGATTTCCTCAACGAGAGTCGTTGTCCGCAGGTCTTCCACTTGCTGGCTACTCTCCGTGACGCTCAGCCACCCACCATCTTCCGCCAGAGACGTCAGTCGACTGCGAACAGCTTCAATACAGCTTTCACTGAATGCGTGCCAATTTTCTCCTTTGAGTTTGTCTTCAAAAATCTTGGCGCCTAAACGGCACAAATCGCTTCGCTGGGTGGTGCCGACCTCGACTTTGCTGAGATGGAAAAAGCCTAGAAGTTTGCGGGATGTCTTGATAACGTGGCTTCGTTCGGAGAGATAGAGACTACGTAGCCGCAAGCGCCTGCTTTTCTCGGAAAGAAAGTCGACAGAATCATCATTCGTCAGGATCTTGCGATTGAGAATTTCCGCCAGAGCAGGACCTGCGAGGGACGCGCGCAGATTGTCGGCCCCTGTTGCACTTTGTAAACTTGTTGTTTCCTCTCCGGCGAAGCGAGTCAAGAGGCGTGTAGCAGGTCGGTGTTGCCATTCCAACACGGTGATCCGAAGCGCGCTGATTTCGTCGATCCCAGCTTTCTCGCTGAGCCAGAGAGCGTCCGCTTTGATCTCCTTGAGGTCGTACGACGACTGCGCATTAGTCTCGGCATGGATGGCTGCTGTTTTAGATTCGAAGTCCGTCTTAGATTTCGGCGATGGGGAAGGGAACCCGTTCAAGCAATTCGAGAGGATCTGGACGCTGTCGGGATGCGATAGAAAGGCATGTAATTGCTCCGCATCGTCATCTATGCTGGCATGATTGCATGTGTATAGGAAGGCTTGCTTCCAGGACCTAAGCGCGCAAACAGGATTAGTATCTACTGTCATGTCAGATGTGTTCAATGTTGAAGGCGCGTACAGAAGCTGAACGTCCCCGGAGAAGCACTTGTCCAGGGACGGGAAGAAGGCTTCCGGGAGGGGAGCCATTGGCGGGACAACTATATCATTATAGGATTCAAACAGGCAAGGGAAAGAAAAGACGCCGTCCGACCGAGTCAAAGGAGAAAGACACGGGGATGGACAGAGCAACGGGGAGGGACAAACACAGAGCTCAACAGCTCACGGCGGGAATCTCCAGAATATTCAACCCGAACGGAGTCTAGCCTGCAAGCCTGAGGTCAACAATGATTGCCTATCTGGGTCTAGTGTTGGGCGGTGAGAGGGATTTTTGCAACAACTGATTTGGTTTTGCATGGTTTGAATCCACTAATCCTAAACGGGACAAGCAGCTCGATCCACCCATTCCCGCTGGCGGCGGCGGCGGCGGCATTTGTTGGACTGAGTCAATGGAGGGGATGTGCGATTGCTTGCGGTTACACAACAACTCACTTCGTTCTCTCGCAACACTGCTCGGAGGGTTTCGTCAACTCTGGGAGGTGAGTTGGTCCTAGATCTCTCTCTGTTCTTTCTTCCTCTGTGTTGTCTTCATTTGATCTTTCCATTCATTCTAATCTGTCTTCCACTCTCTCAATCCAGATATAGCAAACATGGCGAGCTCCGATCTCGTTGATCATTCACCCCACCATCCTACCCAGGCTGCCCAACTCAACAGCGCGTCGAATGTCATCCTTATCGACAACTATGACTCCTTCACTTGGAATGTCTATCAGTACCTGGTTCTCGAAGGTGCGACTGTGAATGTCTACCGTAACGATCAAATCACTATCGAGGAACTTATCGCCAAAAACCCGACGCAGCTCGTGATCAGCCCGGGTCCTGGCCACCCCGAGACCGATGCCGGTATAAGTATCGCTGCAATCAAGCACTTCGGCGGCAAGATCCCCATTTTCGGAGTGTGCATGGGCCAGCAATGTATGATCACTTGCTTTGGAGGAAAAGTCGACGTTACCGGCGAGATTTTGCATGGCAAGACATCCCCTCTGAAGCACGATGGCAAAGGCTGCTACGAAGGGTTGCCTGCTAAGCTCGATGTCACCCGGTACCACTCTCTGGCTGGAACTCATTCGACTGTTCCTGACTGCCTGGAGGTCTCCTCTTACGTGCATCTGGCCAACGACAATGCCAACGACAAGACCATTATCATGGGCGTGCGACACAAGCAATTCGCTATCGAGGGTGTTCAGTTCCACCCTGAAAGTATTCTTACGGAGAATGGACGAACTATGTTCAGAAATTTCCTGAAGCTTACGGCAGGCACCTGGGAAGGAAATGGGAAGCACTTCAATGAGCACAAGACCGTGGTTTCCTCTGCGCCTTCGGCTGCCGCCCCGAAGACCGATAAGAAGAAGTCTATCCTTGACAAGATCTATGACCACCGCAAAGCTGCCGTGGCTGTGCAGAAGACTATTCCTTCGCAGCGGCCAACCGACTTGCAAGCTGCTTACGACCTCAACCTTGCCCCCCCTCAGGTGTCCTTCCCCGACCGCCTTAGAAAATCCCCTTATCATCTGTCCCTCATGGCGGAGATTAAGCGGGCTTCTCCTTCCAAAGGCATGATTGCCGAGCATGCATGTGCGCCAGCCCAGGCTCGGCAATACGCGAAGGCTGGAGCCAGTGTCATTTCCGTCCTTACCGAGCCTGAATGGTTCAAGGGCAGCATTGATGACTTGCGCGCTGTTCGTCAAAGCCTGGAAGGCTTCACCAACAGGCCTGCTATCCTTCGCAAAGAATTTGTCTTTGACGAATACCAGATTTTGGAAGCGCGATTGGCTGGTGCCGATACAGTTTTGCTCATTGTGAAGATGCTCAGTACCGAGCTTCTTACAAAACTGTACAAATATTCCCGCAGTCTCGGAATGGAACCACTAGTTGAAGTCAACAACCCGGAGGAGATGAAGATTGCAGTGGATTTGGGAGCGCAGGTCATTGGTGTCAACAACCGTGACCTGACTAGCTTTGAGGTCGATCTCGGAACCACAAGCCGACTGATGGACCAAGTTCCTTCCAGCACCATTGTCTGCGCGCTGAGTGGCATTTCTGGGCCTAAAGACGTGGAAGCTTACAAGAAAGACGGCGTCAAAGCGATCCTGGTCGGTGAGGCTTTGATGCGAGCGGCGGACACGTCTGCATTTGTTGCAGAATTGCTCGGTGGCAGTGATAAGAACGTTGAGACTAAGATCCAGAGCTCTCCACTTGTGAAGATCTGTGGCACGCGATCTGAGGAAGCGGCAAAGGCCGCCATCGAGGCTGGCGCTGATCTAATCGGTATTATTATGGTACAAGGAAGGAAACGACTTGTTCCGGATGACGTTGCATTGCGGATCTCACAGGTTGTCAAGACCACACCCAAGCCCGCCAGCCAGTCCAGCCAAACACCTGACGCAGCAGCTGTGGACTACTTTGATCACTCTGCTTCGATTTTGCGTCATCCCAACCGGGCTCTGCTCGTGGGTGTATTCCAAAACCAGCCATTAGAGTACATCTTGTCTCAGCAACAGAAGCTGGAACTTGATGTCGTTCAATTGCACGGCTCTGAGCCCCTCGAGTGGGCTAGGTCAATCCCCGTCCCTGTCATTCGCAAATTTGGTCTCGACGAGCCCGCAATTGCCCGGAGATCTTACCACACGTTGCCCCTACTAGACTCTGGAGCTGGTGGATCTGGTGAGCTCTTAGATCAATTACGTGTCGAGCGAGTTTTGGAGAGCGACAGCGGTCTACGTGTCATTCTTGCTGGAGGTCTGGATCCTACAAATGTCGTTGAGACGATCCAAAGGCTCGGCAAGTCCAGCGCTAAGGTGGTGGGCGTGGACGTCAGCTCTGGCGTCGAGTCCGACGGCGCACAGGATCTGGAAAAGATCCGCGCCTTTGTTAAGGCTGTCAAGAACCTTCATGCATGATCTGGTCTGGTCACTATAATATATTTATACTATGAGACAACCAATTGGTTCACATCAATATCATTCTTACTTCCGGGTCATTTCAATTCGTATACTCTTAGCAATAGGACACCAGCGGTGTTCTGGTTGTGATTAAATATATTCACATAGCTGTCACCTCATAACAATTTATTCTCAAATTAACTGTTCACCTTTTGTCACTGTCTTTCCATTACATGGAATGGAAAAGGGCAACCTCTGACTTGGGTTGAATATACGTGCTTACCCCTACTCTATATCCATGTTAATGAATTATTTACCTTCTTCACATGCATACATCACCATCTTGTGAGGTTTATCTCAATCTTCGGGTTCTGACAATATCCTCTCGGGCCTTGGCCACATCGTAATTGCCTGATGGTCGAACTTAGGGCCAACCATACCCAGGTCTCTACTCATATATTCTTGATTTATCTCTACCTCCCACTTCAATATCCTACTCATTGATCTCCTGGTTGATATCTCTCCTCTTCTTTCTCCTCATTTACATACTCTCCTCTGCTTTCAAATCACCAGAGAGCCAATATAACTTCACTTTGCTATCTCCTTCATGTTCCTGCCTCTGATGCACTGAACCCTCCCATCCTAACTCCTTCCACCCACAACACCCCAAACAGCCCGAAATCATGGGCAAGACATTCCACAAGATCCACGCCAGCTCGGCGGGCAAATTCCCCAAAGGCGGAGACAAAATCCCGCAATGGATCCGCGCCAACGGAGGCGAATACCATTCGACTATCACCCCGCAAGTGACTCATCTCATCACGACTCTCGAGGCGTATAAGAAGAATATCGCGCCAGGTACAGTGCACCTCTTGCTCCTAGCACTTAACGCAATTGCTGTCTCTAATGTTTGACCAGTCCGCGAAGCCAAGGCGCTGAAAAACATCAAGATCGTCACCTTCGACTGGCTGGAAGATTCCTTGCTCGCCAAGGACAAGAAGCCAAAACGGGCGAATGAATACCTCCTGGAAACGATTGTAAAGGACGAGGAGAAACGGAAAAGGAAACCAGCTCGAGAGGCGTCTCGGACCACAAAGTCGGTAGACGCTGCAGCGGCCACAACGCGGAAGGCTGGTGCCGCGAAGAAACCCGCAGGTATGCCCTCATCTTTTCTCCTCGCGAGTCGTCATCTCGTTCCAAGCCACTGATGGTGAGATAGGGAGGATCAAGAATCCAGACCCTTTCGGAAAGGCGACGGCCAAATTCAAGGCTGGAGCCGCTGCGGGTAGGTGGAATATACTATATATCATCAGGTGATGGTAGACGGATGTCGTGGCAGAAGCCTATCAGGGTACTAACGCTCGACTGAACTCACAGCTAAGTATTGCATCTACGTGGGCGAAACAACAGGGATCAAGTACGATATCCCTCTGGTGCGGCTCATGGCCTGTAGAAGGTCGAGAGAGAAGATCCGCCTCAAGGTCAGTCGGTCTATCTACGAATCTTCAGTCATTTTTTGTTACCACCATGAGAATTGCTTTATCAACAATGAGATTCGCGACCAAAGAAGCTGAGAATGTGTGACCCTACCTGCTTTAGGTATACGAATCCAAGGCCGAGCCACACGTTTACGCTACGCGCATGGAATACAGTCGCACCGGAGCAGCTTGTGCCCAGATGTTGACACCTCTGGGAACTAGTTTGAAGATAGCTATGGATGCATTCGAGGCAAAGTTCATGAGTAAGACCGGAGTAGCCTGGGCTGATCGGTCGAATGGGGTTGCGCCTCCTCCGAAGATGGACAAGGAAGGCAATCCGCTGCCTGCGGACAAGGGGTGGTATTTCTTTGAAGACGGCCAGAGCATATTATCCCAGTACCTTCATTCTCATACCGCTGTCGAAGACCAGGGGCATGAAGTCGAAACAGCAGGTGGGGCCAGCTTGGTTTGATAGACGCAAGGCATTGCTCTGGGCACTGGAAATCGAGCAGAAGTTAATGGTCGCAGGCATTGGCTATAGTCTGAATACCACTGGGGGCCTTACTCCCGGCTAGGTCAACTCAGTTCTAGGTGGTGCTAGATGCAATGGGGAGAAGCGGTGCGCTGGGTGGGCTTTGATTGCAGAATCGGTGATCATATTGCAGTTTGCCCTAAAAAGGCACCCATGTAACTACAGTTATATATGCTGCCGAATCAGTGAGCGCCTCACCGAATTAATACACTGGGCCAAACAAAAAGATGATGAAGATGATTTATGTTCTTTCAGATGGGTATACAAATAGCGACCTAAAATGCCAACGGTGCGAACATACGACCAGGAAGCTCCTTCTAACACCTCTTTGCGCCAAATCAAACTTTTCCTGTAGCCTTCGTGCTTGACAGCGAAAATGCTAGCTGACCGATCCTCATGCTCACAGATAATCCTTCTTCTTGCTTGTCCTCGTGTATTGCGTGAGGGCCCATTCCACATCACCGCTGGATCCCTTCTCCAGGGAGCCTCCACGGATCTCGAACAGCCTCATGGTCATGCGAGGGCCAACTTCCGCCAGCTCCACATCCCGATATCCGGTCTTGACGAAGACGTGGTGTCGCACCTCGATACTGTCCTCCTTATTCACGAAGCTGACGACCCGATTGCCAACCTTGCCATCCTCGCGGGGCGGGAACAGGTGCTTCAGGATTTGCACCACACGGAGACCCAGCTTGGTTGTGAACCCCTCGAAGACGAGATGCGGGTAGCTCTCGGAGACGGTTCCGCGAGCCGCGTCGGGGATATCGGCACGGAGAACGACATTGTGAAGGGAGAAGCTGGCCGTGGGGCCATGTGGCAGGTGGGAGATGGTCATCGCCGTAGGCGTACCACGGTGTTCGTGCAGGAGGATCATGTCGGTCAGCGCTGCGGCGGTCGCGCTCGAGACGAGATCGGGCAGGACGAGATTACCACGGTTCAGACGGATCGCGGTGGGCAGGAGCAGACGGATTTCTTTGGCGAAGGTACCGAGGCGGACAGAAGGGCTGCGAGAAGTTGTGACAATAGGGCGAGGGTCGGCGATACCCGAGGTGAGCGCATATTCGTCGTCCAAGTCCACTTTGTCGGCGTCCTTGTCTGCACTGTCTAGCGATTCATCGTATTTGAAGTCTTCGCGCAGGGATTTGTCATTGGCGATAGAGGGATCGAGGGGTTTGCCGGAGGCCAGCGACGCCTTCAGTTGAGCTCGCTTTTCGGCGATAGAGGCATCGCGGAGGGTTAGAGCTCTCCGGTAGAGATAATCTCGTCGCTCACGGGCTTGACGGCGCTGGAGGTGAAGTATGTCAGTATGCTAGATATGAAGTCGCAAGTAACTCAGCAGCTCGAAAAAAGAGCACAAACATACCAACATCTTGAGTGTCCAGCCTGTATTTGGGGTTCTGATACAAAGATCGGATAAGTTATCGAATGATCGAATGCGGCATGCCGCCCATCTTTTTTTCTTTCCTAAATTGCCGCTCTGGTCCGCCTTGGCCACCGGACTGTGGAATTTGGCGGCAAACAATCGCCGATAACTTGATCGAGCCCGATCGCATACCACCCGCCACTTAGTCCTCCGCTTGACAACATTACGCCTGGTCTAAGAGGGCAAGCCGATACACTTTCCTGTCAAGTAAACTCAGTGGCGGCAGGAACTCGCTGTGACTGAAGGTTTGACTCCCCTGTGTTATGCGCAAGTGATTTCCGCTTCGCTAAGACCACTGCACCTCTTCTCTTCTCACTTCCCTCTCTCTTTTGCCCCTCTACCGTGACACACACTGACAAGTTGGGAGTCGAGATTATTAAGAACAAGCTGACTCGCGGACTTTTGTAGTGCCACAGACGACGGGCTTGTCCGCTGCACTCATTTAATCCCTACGACCCGCCGTTCTTGTATCACCTTCCGATCTGCGGCGGCCGAGATATCTTTCGCTTCTTATACCTTTGCTATCCTGCGCCCACACATATCACTGCGTTTACGACCTCTATCAGCGATTCTTAACACCAAACGCCAGCTATGGCTGCATCGGTCGATGAGAGGATTGCTGCAGACCTCGATGAGTCTCATCAATTCCGTCCCCGGAGACATGATGACGACGACGAGGGTTCCGACCACCTAGGAGATGATGATGCTGAAAGCACCGCCAGTGCTACTGTCGCGGAGCGTAAGAATAACGAAGGTCACTTCGATGAGGAGAAAGAGCTTCCACCGCATGCGTGCTCGTACGTGTCTTAAAAGACCGCCCCTCATAGCTCCCCTCTTTGCTAATATGAGCTTGCAGGTATTGCGGTATTCACAATCCGAGCAGCGTCGTGAAGTGCCTGGCTTGCAGCAAATGGTTCTGCAGTGCTCGTGGTAACACATCATCTTCTCATATTGTCAATCATCTCGTTCGAGCTCGTCACAAGGAGGTCCAATTGCACCCCGCCTCATCGCTCGGCGATACCATCCTCGAGTGTTACAACTGCGGCACCAAGAATGTTTTCCTCCTCGGTTTCATTCCAGCGAAGTCCGACACCGTTGTTGTCCTGTTGTGCCGTCAGCCATGTGCCGCCATGCCTTCCTCCAAAGATATGAACTGGGATACTTCTCGGTGGCAGCCTTTGATCGAAGATCGCTCGTTTCTTCCCTGGCTTGTGGCTGCTCCATCCGACCAGGAGCAGCTTCGCGCACGCCACCTTAGCCCGCAGTTGATTGCTAAATTGGAAGAGATGTGGAAGGAAAACTCTCAGGCGACCTTCTCGGATTTGGAAAAAGCCACAGCCGTGGACGATGAGCCCGCACCTGTTCTATTGCGTTACGACGATGCTTTCCAGTATCAGAATATCTTCGGGCCGCTAGTCAAAATTGAAGCAGACTACGACCGGAAACTGAAGGAGTCTCAGTCTCAAGATGGATTGATTGTGCGCTGGGACCTCGGTCTTAACAACAAACACCTAGCCAGTTTTATCTTGCCCAAACTCGAACTCGGTGATGTGAAATTGGCTGTCGGTGATGAGATGCGCTTGAAGTATAGCGGTGAATTGCGTCCGAAGTGGGAAGGTGTTGGATATGTCATCAAGATCCCGAACAACCAGTCTGATGAAGTGACTATCGAACTGCGGGCCAAGGGTGACCACAAGTCCGTGCCTACCGAATGCACGCACAACTTCACGGCTGACTATGTTTGGAAATCTACCTCTTTTGATCGCATGCAGCTCGCTATGAAGACTTTTGCTGTCGATGAGATGAGTGTCTCTGGTTATATCTTTCACCGCCTCCTTGGACACGAAGTTGCAGCTGCGCCTATGAAGACCCAGATGCCCAAGAAGTTCAGTGTTCCGGGACTCCCAGAGCTCAACAACAGCCAGATCAATGCGGTTAAAAGCGTGCTTCAGAGGCCTTTGAGTCTTATTCAAGGACCGCCCGGGACGGGTAAAACCGTCACCTCGGCTACGATTATCTATCACCTTGCCAAGATCAACGGTGGTCAAGTCCTGGTTTGTGCGCCCTCGAACGTTGCTGTTGATCAGTTGTGTGAACGTATCCACAGAACTGGTCTCAAGACGGTCCGTGTGACTGCGAAGTCGCGAGAGGATGTTGAATCTCCAGTCGGATTTCTTTCTCTGCACGAGCAGGTTCGCATCAACGACAGCAACATTGAACTTATCAAGCTCAACCAATTGAAGGCTGAGCTTGGCGAATTGTCCAGTCAGGACGAAAAGCGACTCAAGCAGCTCACGCGTTCCGCAGAACGAGAGATCCTCAACAATGCCGATGTCATCTGCTGTACCTGTGTCGGTGCTGGTGATCCACGTCTTTCCAAACTCAAGTTCCGCACTGTTTTGATTGACGAATCGACTCAATCTGCTGAGCCGGAGTGTATGATTCCTTTGGTTTTGGGCTGCAAGCAAGTCGTCCTTGTTGGTGATCATCAACAGCTGGGTCCTGTCATCATGAACAAGAAGGCTGCCAAGGCTGGTCTGAATCAATCGCTCTTTGAGCGTCTTGTTATCTTGGGATGTTCTCCTATTCGCTTGAACGTTCAATACCGCATGCACCCATGTCTTTCTGAGTTCCCTTCGAATATGTTTTACGAGGGTTCTTTGCAGAACGGTATCTCTCCTTTGGACCGTCTTCGCCGTGATGTTGACTTCCCTTGGCCCATCCTTGATAACCCTATGATGTTCTGGTCAAACCTGGGTAATGAAGAAATTTCGGCCTCCGGTACTTCCTATCTCAATCGTACTGAAGCGACAAACGTTGAGAAGATTGTCACTCGTTTCTTCAAGGCCGGAGTGCAGCCCCAGGACATCGGTATCATCACTCCCTACGAAGGCCAGCGTAGCTACATCGTCAGCTCCATGCAGGCCACTGGCACTTTCAAAAAAGAGCACTACAAGGAGATTGAGGTCGCATCCGTCGATGCTTTCCAGGGTCGTGAGAAGGATTTCATCATCCTTTCGTGTGTTCGTTCAAATGACCACCAAGGCATCGGTTTTTTGAGTGATCCCCGCCGTCTCAACGTCGCGCTCACTCGTGCTAAATACGGACTGGTGATTTTGGGAAATCCCAAGGTTTTGTCGAAGCATCCTTTGTGGAACTGCCTCTTGCAACACTTCAAGGAGCGACATTGTCTTGTTGAGGGACCCTTGTCCAACCTGCAGGAATCCCTCATCCAATTCAGCCGCCCGAAGCAGGCATATCGTGGACCCCAGCGATTCCAGATGGCGTTTAATCATGCCTCCAACGTGACCAGTGGATTGATGACAGGGAAGAATGGCCACCGCAACGAATTCCATGATACTGGATCCGTTGTAGGATATATCCCCGATGATGTTTCTTCTGTTCATTCATCTGCTCTTGGTGGTGTGAGCATTCCTTCCGGCTACCCGCCTATGTTTCAGAACTTTGCCGACTCGTGGCCGGCCCTTCCAGGCGGTCGCCGGGCCAACGGGAACCGGATGAAGGGTGCCCCTAGTATTGCTGGAGAGTCCATCGCAGCCACCGAGTCTGATGTCACGGGCAGCATCATCGACGGAAAGACCGCCGATCAAGGGGGTGTCAGCCTTGCTGGTTTGAGTATCAACGACATGACCAAGCAGCCCAGTCTCAGCCAATCTGACCGTCTGAAGCGTTATGTGGAGTCTGGAGGACGTGAGCCTTACAAGCCTGGTGGTCCCGACAACGGCAGCATCTTTGGAGGCAGCTCGACTAGCATTCGTGTCACCCGGGGTGTTCCAGGGCACATGCACGACGACGATGATACTCGCAGCGTCTCGACTGCTTTTGCCAGCCAGATTGGGGGAAACTATGATTGATTGAGGAGGTCTTGGCATGTTCAGAATCGGGAGCTGACCCTGAAGCTTCTACAGTCATCCCCACAGACTTCGGAACAGCCAGTCGCAGAATCGACGGGACTGGCTGTCCTCGGACAAGACTCGATGTCCTGGCACTCCACATGGCCTTGGCGATATTCTCAAGGAAGGGGGATCCCCTGTGCTTTCTAGGGCAGCTTCAGTATAAGCAGACCCTCAACAATAGGAGACGATTGCGACATCCTCGTTCTCTTTTCGGCACTCTTGTCGGTAACGGATGGAAGTCTCGAGTTTCGAATTGCTGCTACCTGTCCACCGTAGCGAACATCGGTTCTCGTCACACTGTGGTGCAGTCCTACAAGACCCTACCCACGGTATGTGATAGGCGAGGGCTGTATGGAATATCTCGTACTATGTCTCATGGATATCATTGATATCAGTCGCTCGAAAGAGTCAGCGGTATGTCATGTCAATTTCTCCGCTCACGGCTGCGCTCGGGAGTTACGAGGCAACCAGCCAGGCCTACCATTATCGCGGACGAGGTGGATGAAGGTTTTTCAAAACCACCAATCCTAGTCCAACGTCTCTTTCTTTTCTACCGCTAGCATTGCTTTACATTGCTTATTGTCGTATTTCCAACCCAATCTAAAAAAAAAAACTCATATGCGAACTGTGCCATTATCATGGCGTGCGAGGCTATGTCTGTTAGTTGAAGAGGTGATGTGCATACTAGCATAACACTGTGTATCGTAGCTTGGTTTCCATGATGCAGTCCGACCATTCTGATCCGACACCTTCGATTCTTTGACTCAACCCAAGAACAGCATAGCCACATAGCGCCCTTGATCGGCGGAAGTAGGAACAAAAACATAGTCGAGAAGTAGCAGAGCTCTGATAGGCATCCGTATTTCCAGCGTTCTTCCTTGCCAGCTGCTCAGCATCATAGGCTTATTGGTATATAATTGTCTAGGAGCTCTCATTAATAGCTTGGATAGGCGTGCGCGTAATAGCTTCATATATGAGGACAGGTCACGACGGCTCAGGTACGTGAAGTTGACAGAACAACAGTGTGAAGTAGGCACAAGCTACTCTCCGCACTGATCCACATAAGTTCGAGGGCAGGAGAGACATCCATATTTCACCTTGCGCAAGCAATCCTCGCACAGTACAGAAGCTTTTGAGAAGATAGTTATCAGAGCCTCGTCGATCAACCTAAATATAACTACCCGGTGCTTTGAAGGCTTGTCCTAGCGACGGAGATAAGAGAAGGATCAATTTAATTCACTGAATCATGTAGAGATAACGATTACGATGGAGGTATTCTCCATGGTGTTGATCGTGGCAGGACTGCGCCACTAATGGCGATCCATACAAGTAACTTGGGTATACGTATGTAATCCCGGACAGGGCCTAAGTCTGTCTATCTTTGCAGGCTCGATAGGCTCATAAAATCGAGATGCCTAATTTTCCTTGTCTGAGTAACAAGAACTATGAGAAGCCACTGAGAAAGAACATGCAGATGACGCAACTCCTTGACAGCTTTTGTGGCCATGCCTTGGGAGAAGCATGAATGGCTGGTTTGATCGGCAATAGGTATATACGATCGATTATACCCGATACCGGCTACTGGACAGCCGCTTGCATAGACGATATACTTTATTGTGCAGGAATCGAAGAAGGACAGGGAATTGTCTTGGGGCAGGTGAGCAGCTTAGCTGACGAGATTCCTGGATGTTTAATAACGCAGCTACATGATGTGCGTAGGGATGAGCTGTATTGCCGATGAATCTACCAATGTAAGTAATGTGCAGTAAGTTGACTAGTACCCTGCGCGTCAAACAAATCAGCCAGGACAAGCCGCGCCACGATCCCTGCTTGTTTCCAAAGCGTGGAGCGTAGCGTCTCAGGTGTCTATTGAGCCCCTGTCTTTCAAGCTTGATTGGTGTATATGTTTTCTTTGAGTCTGGTGTGGAGCAGCGCTTAACGGTCTCTGTGCCTAATGGATGGAGTGGCTCGGGATTGGGCGAGAAAACGCAGTATGCTACTAGGTATGTGCTCCGATGCCGCAGGAGGTTTGGGTACCTAAGGTAGTAAACTGCCTGGGTGAGAGATATGATTTCAAGCGAAATCTTGGCACGGTTGACTTGAGCGAGAGAGACGGTGCAGAATGTATTGGGGAATGGTTTCCAAGTTCATATTCTCTGTTGGCAGGTAACAGTGGTGGGTTGAGGACTCCAATTGGTTCAATGTATCGCCAGCCGAGGCGCCCTCGATATGTCGGAGTTTCCTAAAATAGAAACCTTACTTCGCCACATCAGTTAGGCAGTGTGGCTGAAGCATGACCTGCACGTGCCGTAGTGATTGCCAGGCAGCAATGAGGCACGCAAAATCTTTCTTGCCTGGTATGTGGCGGCTCGTCAGTAAACCAATTGTGAGTAGCAGTACTGTAGTGAGGTGCGTACAGTAAGTACAACCAACACCTCAGCTTTGGCCTGGGTCGACCAGGAATGAACAGTTCGGGCTTATCCTGCCGATAAACCTCCCTTCCCCTCGCTTGGTTGCCTGATGTTGACTTTCTGCGTGACTCACTAGTCGCAGCCTAAACAATCTCTCAAAAGAGTTTGCCATCAAGATTTTTGGGTGATTCGGCGCCTACCAATACAACTAACGCCAACCTATTGTGTACCATCGTCTGCGCCGGACAGATATAACGCGTCTCTGATCACACCACGTGTGCAAGGCATGTTGAGTTGATATTCCAAGTACCGGTCAGAATCAGTAAGCCAGAATAATCACAATAGCAATAATCATAATTGTCTACACTGTCTACATACATGAACCAACGTTTCGCCCTCGTTAGGTTGTGTTTGTTCTCCCATCCCATCCCATCCCATCCCATCCCATCCCGTTTTCTCGCTGTTCCAGTGGCGGTTTGCCAAGCCTCCAGCTGCTTAGTCACTCGATGCCTGGCTTAGTGTCCTAAAAATCCTGGCAATCCGCCCTTCCGAGTTAAGGAACCAACATCCATCCTCCAGCCAGTGCCACCCGACTCAAACTAGGTCGAACCAACTCGATTTTATACCAACTTGCTTGTGCTTTATTTTGCTACCCCTAGATTTTGTTACTTACTACATTCCTTTTTCTATTTGTTCGGTCATATAGACCTTGGTCTCGGAGTCTCTCGGTTCAAACTTTTTCGATTCCTCCTAGGGACATCTCCGCCCATCTCAATTGACGGCGGGGTTGGAACTACGCTATGGGTGACGGTTCTGATTATCCTAGCCCACGAAGTGAAGGTCCCGGCGGACCTACCTCAGTTTTAGTCGCTACCCAGGAACCGCTTGTCGCAGCACCCAAGATGAACGTGAACGAACAACTCCCACCCAATTTCATGGAAGGGGCGCGTCCGCGACTGTCGGTGAGGCGAGCGCGGGATCCGCCCAAGAACTCTGCAGGCCAAATTTACTGCGATCACCCGGAGTGCCAACAATCGCCTCCCACTTTTCGCCGTCCATGCGAGTGGAAGTAAGTTCTTCTCTTCTCCCCTTTGGAGTTCTGTTGAAGGACCGGAAATAGAATGCTAACAGGTCATTGTAACAGTAAGCACATGGACAAACATGACCGCCCCTACAAGTGCATGGAACCCGGGTGTGACAAGATCCAGGGATTTACGTACTCAGGCGGTCTATTGCGGCACCAGCGCGAGGTGCATAAGAAAAACATCAACGCCAAGAAACCACTGATGTGTCCCTACGTCGATTGCAATCGCAGTACAGGAAACGGGTTTACGCGTCAGGAGAACCTGAAGGAGCACCTCCGCCGTCGCCACATGCATACCGAGAATGGTCCTGCACCAGATCTACCTCCCATCCCGTCTCCGGATGATCTGGAAGACGCCGCAGCTCTTGGCGTGCCTCCTACCTTGAAGCGCAAGCGCGATGCTATCGATGAGGATCCTACCTTGGATCTCTCCGAGGATTCTGGGAACGGCGTCACTCTCCGAAACGAGCTCAAGAGACTGCAACTCGAGGTCCAGGAAAAGGATCGCCGGCTGGAAGAACTCGAAAGGATTGTCGCTGGCTTGCAGCAAGCTATGCCGCAGACCGCGACCTCTCAAGGATAGATGCCGCCGAGGCAAAGACTCTCTACGACTTACATGTTTCTAACCCCCACCCTCTCAATCCTCTTTTCTCCATCTTGTCCGTGTCATTCTTTATCCCAGACACTTCCTTGATGCTTGAAATCTCTCTTTATTTATGGTCTGCACTATGTGGTTTGCATTCGATGGGCGTTTTCATATGCAAAGTACGGGCCTTGGGTTCGCGCGATTCTGTCTACAACATCAGTGGGAGGTTCGTTCATATGGTTGGTCTACATCTCAGAATGCATGGATAAAAAAACTCAGGCAGCTCTGACGATATGGCGTTTGCTCGAGGTCGAAGATACAGACCAGGTGGTGTTCTAATGGTTCCTACTCTTTCTTTATTTCCTGAAATATACCCAGGCGTTTTTCAACCTAAGTTTCCTTTGTCACTCCCAGTCTATCCTCATGCTGTTGTCTCTACTCCGGTGCGTAGTTATTTTGTCCATGTTGGGATTCCAAAGGAGTCGCATTCGTTTATGATGCCTGTCATAATATCCTCAAACATATTATCACCTCTAAGTGGCTTTCGAGGATTCACGATCCATCTCATCTCGTAATCATTGGAACCGACGCTGCGGCATCGAACCCCAGAACTCCAAGCCACGGCGCAATCATAGTGGTGTTGGTGTGATATACGCACATACTCGCCTCCTTCGTCTAGCATATACAAGGCGCTGACTCGCTGGGCTCACGTGGCTGACAACTCGGTGTATTGTCTCTCTGACATTCAGCCTCGTGACATTCAGGATCCGCAGTTCCCAGACCGTCAGGAACCCGGCAAGCATACATCTCTCACACAGGATAAGGCTTGCTTCTCTCTCGTGATTCTTGCTCTGACTCATGTGCTTCCAGCCCCGCCTGATAAAGCGCAAGCTGGCCTTGCAAAGAAGTGCAGCCCGAGCTATGGTGACTCATGCCATGTAAAGAGCTACCGATGTTTGCTATCGCGTTACGCAAGGATTCATCGATGGATGGTGTAGATCCAACAAGCTGATGTTCTAGCTGTTGGAGAGCCATAGCTGAGTGGCAAATGTCAACCAACAGCATCGTTGGTCAAACGGTTACGATACTTGTCTTCCAAACAAGTGGCCCGGGTTCGACTCCCGGACGATGCAATTAACTTTTGCGGTGATCCTGTTTCTGCTCGATTTTTTTCTGTAACTCACCATGGCTGGTGAGGGTCTGGATTGGTCGCGCGCACTCGTCTCGTTGAACTTGAAGTCATTGCTAGTTTCTTTTGAGGAGGTGACGTGCTTGTACTGTACTGTACGTCGGCGGGGATGCGTGCAGGATCGCCTCTTCCTTACGTTGACATATAACCCCGCCTTGCCAACGTCAGATATGGATTGTTGTGATACTCGTAGTTCACTTACCCATCTGCTGAGTCAGTTGACCAAATGATTGGGCGAGACTCCATAGGGTAAATATTCCACTACTATCCGATCCACGAGTGTGTCTGTACCGTACCTGAAAGCAGAGAAGCCAGCCACTTGCACAAAGGCGGTGATGATATAATGAACAGGAGACAGGAAGAAGGGAGTCAATCAATGGAATCAAGGCAGTCCGAACAGTGAATGGATGGACCTTTCCACACTTCATGCGTACCTCTCACACTAGCGTCTCTTTGTTCTCACGACTCGATGCTTTTGGTTGAGCTTCAAATCAGAACTGTTCCATTCTCCACTCTCCCGACACAATCTAACCCCCTCTTCTTCTGATGGCTGTGATCACGACTTGAGAACAAAACAAGAGATCAACTGAAACATTCAAAACAAAACTCAGAATAGCCCACTAGGTTTCTCTCTCCTGGCCCAAAGGCTTAGGTCTCCGGCAAGAATGGCACTGACATCGTCCCTGGCGGAGGACGCGACGTCCCAAGGTGTCGGTGCTCGCTACACCCCGAATCATGAGTACAGTCTGGGAACTCGCAGGCAGAAGACCGACCAGCCCACGGTGTCTTACGAGGAATTCGATGTTGAAGCCCATGCACCCGTCAACGCCGAGAACCATGCCTTCCAGGCGGGCGAATTCGTGCCTGACGGATTCTTCAACCGAGTTGGTCTTTTGTGCTTCACCATCCCACCTCCAATGTTTCAGTGGTCCTACGAGATGCGCCGGCAAGCCCAGCCTCTGCTACCATTTCTCTACCTGGGTCCCTGGAGCTGCCTCGCCGACCGCGGCCGACTCGTGCAGGAGGGAATTACACTTCTCTTAGCCGTGCGGGACAAGCGACTCGCCATGGCCAGCCTGATCAGCGGCAGGCGGGCAGCGGAAGCTCTGCAGATAGAAGACGGCACCGTTGACTTCGCAGACAACCAAGAACTTATCACGATGCTGCCTCGACTCATCAACCACATCAACGCTCATGTCGCTTCATTCCCCGCCACTGAGCCGAGCGGCCATGCCCGGAAGAAGGTCCTGCTCTTTTGTGAGACGGGGAATGGTCCGTCGGCCGTGGTTGCGATCGCGTACCTGATGGTGATGCTCAACATCAGTCTGCCGCAGGCACTGCAGTATGTCTCCGCGCGCCGGTTCTGTATCGACATCGATGATCCGGCGTCCCAGCTGTTGTTGTCCTTCGAGAGTATCCTCGATGCCAAGCGGGATGTCGAGGAAGCTAGACGGGCGAGCGAGGCAAAGAATACTCCGGTCAGGGGTGCGTGTAGAAAACGGGATGCCGCTGAATTCGATATGGTTGAAGATGATGGTTACGCTATGGGGTTGGAAGCGGGGGAGGCGGCGGATGGGAACAGACGACCCCTGGCTCCCTTTGAGGATCGGTCAGGATGACATACATGGATGGATGTGTTTCGCGGGCAGAAGATAAGATATCAGAAGATGATGTCAAAAGATGTCATGGCTCAATGAGAACGTTTCCCCGAAATCTCGCTAGTATTTGTGCGTGTGTGATACTTTCTGTATGAGTACAATCTTGCAGCTTGCCTCTTTGTTACATGACCTGAGCAACACCTAGAAAGGAAATAATGATGCCTATGTGGCTTGATGGCTGGAGTTGCTTAACTCCTGCTCAGCAGGTACATGGTAATTGAACTGGGTGAGAGTTCGAATGATGTTCTCTGCTGCTGGTGAGTGGAAGCCTCACTTCACTATCTCATGTTTTCCTCTTTCTAAAAAGGGAAGTCTCGTTCATTTGGTCACTGCACCGAATCACCTCACTCTCATTCACCAGCCCTCCACATGCCTTGGGACTCTCTTCTCTTTTGTATTCCTTGCCTGGTATTCGACTCCGATACACCTCTTCGGTTTCATCATCTTTCTAATTCTCTTTATTACTTTCACCCTCATGTCTTCTTCACCTGACGCGGCAGGCTCATGATGAGACTCCGCGAGACCATCCGTCTGCCCAATCGGCTCAACGAAGAGGCGCACACTTACACAACCGCAAGAAGAGCGCCACGCCGAGTCATCAGTTCATATCAGTCCAGGGCCGATACCTTCAATCCCAACCTCCCCCCTGCGGCTTTCCCTACCTTGGATCGACCGCGCCACCCGCAGCTTCGCACCGATGACCCGACTCACGAGGGCAAAGACAATGGCAGTCGCAAGCGCTCGTACGAGTGCATGATCAATAATGCTGATATCGATGGCCCGGTCTTGGAGACGGCTGCGGAGCCCAGAGCTGAATGCGAAGAGATACCCGTCGAGCAGATTGATAACTTGATTGCGAGTAATGGCGAGCTCAATCCGATCTACGTCAAGAACATGGCCATCATGGCCCAAGCAGAATCGGAGAGCGCGACGTTCGAGAAGGGTATGGAAGACAGTGACACGGACGAGGAAGAGGATGACGAGCCTGTTGTTGAGCCACTTACGGTAAGATTCCTATATATCCGGCGGAAGGGCCGGATTCAGAAAGCGGAAGGACTAACGCGACGAGTTGATCTGACGTTGCAGGCTTCCCAATGGCGCGATCTGTCGCCACAAATGCAGGTTGAGGTCTTCGAGAATGTGGAGGAAAGCCATAGTCGACCGGCCAGGATCTTGCTTGGGATCTCAGAAGAGGACATGAAGGAGCTAGAGCGCAATCGAGGACTTCGCGCGAAGCAGTTGGAGAAGGAAGACAGGCTCCTGGAGGCAATGCGTGGGAAGCAGCTCGGAGCGATCCTTCGGACCAACAATGTCACCCCGCGAGCCACTCAGGTGCAGCCGAAAGTGGCATGCCAGATGATTCTGCGCCAGTCTCTTCGCAAGATCAAGCGGGCTATCGCACCGGATTTCCTGATCTGTCCGGCCGATGAGGTACTCCGCGCTCGAAGGTTCTTACTGAAACGTGAGATGGATGGGGAGCTTGCAGGCGATTGGAGGGGCTATACGACCAGGTTGCAGATCTCGGCTGATGACTTGTGTCGTGGGTTGGCAAAGAGCACTGTCCCCGAGCCTCGTCCTTCTGATGCTTCTGCCATGAACTCCACGGGTGGTGATGCAGTCGATAACACAGCGTTGCGAATGACCGATAGAACCTCGGCTCAGGTATCCTTGATCAACGGCATTGGTACAAAGTGTCCATCTATGCTGAAGGATATCTTGTCATGCCAAGGTCAAGTCAAAGATCCTCCTCGATGGCTACTTCTCAGTCATCGGGATACAAGCAAGAACTATCACCATCCCAATTGGGACAATCATATTCATACTCAGCTTATCAGCGAGGAAAGGTTGGCTCAGAGAACACATCCCGAGTTGCAGTACATACAACCAAAGAATACCTTCAAGGAGTTCCCTCCGCTGAGTTTGGTCTTCTTCGAGCGTTGTGATCCAATACTGGCCACACGAAAAGGCGACACTGCTACAACGTCCGGCATGAACGAGCGCCACCAGAGATATCCTGACGCCTCGACTGGAACATCCCAGAGAGCCGCTGGTGGGTCCGTGTCAATTGGTTCGGGCCACTCCGGTGGGATGAAACGCATGACAGTCTCCATGCGTATCAGAAACCATATCAACGGAATGGTGATAGAAGCACACAAAAGAATGTCAGAAGGAGCAGCCGGGGAAGCCCAGCAAGAGGAGCCATCTAACCGTCGCAAATGGTTACCTGAAGATCTATGGACCCCTCCTACAAGCCCTTCTCAAGTGCTTCGCACGACAGATTTTCTGTCGCTACAAGATGACGACAACTATGCCTTCGCTGAAAGCGCGGAATTTCCGGGAATCGAGGACACACAGGCGGAGTCGTCTGATGGCGTGATGGATGACATGCTCAGTCAAGATACAGAGGCGTCATCACATACCACATGCGAGTCAGACCCCGTTTTAAAGACCAAAGAGCAATCGAACAGCGCCAAGCCGGACGTTAGTACAAGGTCTGAAAGCGAATCCGTCGGAAGTGATGCAGATGAATATGATACTGCGGACGAAATGGTCCTTGTACAGGTACCAATCTAATCGTGGTCTGCAGATGGAATGGAGCCACAGCGAGGTGACTGCGGCAATCAAAGGACAGCTCCGTCTGGTCGTATGACTCGATGTTCTATCCCAAGGAGGAGGAAGCGAACTGTAAGAATAAGATGTCTGTGGTCTATGTACAGTAGAGATGTAGTTGAAATCTAGATGACAATGTCACATGATAATCTCGATGCATGATTGAATATCATGCTTGCCAAACTAATCCACATGCGTGTGTATAGCTCAACTGGGCAATTCGAAATCAGATCATGGATGGGTATACTTCCCTATCATCTCAGCAGTCGTACGGTTAAGCAATTGAACTCGAAATTGCCCTGCAGGAAACGGGAAGCTTAGCCTATCTTTCTTTGCATGTGACTTTGGCGGCATGGAAGGCAAGAAGCCTCAGGCAAAGAAGAAAATCAATCAAAAGATGGTCCGTGCGCCCGCAACGCGCCTTTCCGCGTCTCCTCCGTAAGCCTTACGCCCACCCATTCCGAGTCGTCACCACCACGATTGGCTTCTGCAGCATCGCTGTTTCAGTTTTGTTTCTCCTCGAGTTGGTTGCAATTGTCTAGTCCTTGCAGGAATTTTGTCTTGCGCATACCACCACCTTAATTCGATTTGATAGAACCCCCCCCCTCCCCCGACCCAAGACCATATCGATCACTCCCCGCGCGCGTGCGTGCGCCACAGCGGCGAATAGCGGAGAATCTGACCCTCAATTCCAGCTACATAATCCACAGGTTTTTTTTTTCTCTTGGGTGGCGAACTGATACCTTGCACGACCTAATTCTACGTACGATTTTCGAGATTCATTGGGCAGCACAGAGGATACTCTCATATTTGTCATAATATCTAATTCATCGTGTACTCGCCAACTCGCCAACTCGCCTACTCGCCTACGAAAGCCGCTTGCGAACTCGACGGACGCCCATTCGCTGTTCATTCACCAAAAGACAAAAGGAAAGGGAGGGCAAAGCAAGCACCAAGCAAAATGACGGACACGACTGTCGAGCAGAATGGCAACCCCGGTTCCGGTCCCGGTCCCGCGGAGGATTCGGAGGGCATGGATGTACAGGCGAAGGCGTTGATGCATTTGTTGAACACGAGTGAGGTTGGTTTGCTATCCACCTGTTTTGTTGCTTCGCGTCGGGGTTTGTTTTTGTTGAAAGGGGTTTTTCTCAGGCTGACTCTTTTTTGGGGGAGGGTAGGTCTTCGTGGCGATTATGGCGGATAGGATGAAGAAACAGCAGGAGGAGGCGAGGGCGGAGGCTTTGAGGGTGCAGCAGATGCGGGAGCTGGAACAAGCGCGGGAGCAGCAGGGAGGAGCTGCGACGACGGCGAAGGCGGCGAAGGCTGGTGGTAGTCCGGCGCAGCAGGTGAATGGTGCGAGGGCAACGAGGCAGACGCGGACGAGTGCGAGGCAGGCTGCTAATTCTAATCCGAGTGGAAGTGGGAGTGCGAATGACGTTGTGAAGGCGGAGGAGGAAGGTGGACAGCAACAGCCACCGCAGCAAGCTACCAAATCCAGGCGAGGGCGTGGGCGGAAGCCGGCTGCCACTGGGAACACGATCTCGAGCTACTTCCAGAAGGCGGATGTGAGTGTTGACCGGGAGAAGCCCACGGTCCAGGAAGCGTTGGAGCATGCGGCGGATGAGTACGAGGCGAACCCGACGGCCTTGGGCGGACAGGAGCTGGTCGCTACGCAGCAGCCGGAGCTGGTGACCGGGGGTCGCATGAAGAAGTATCAGCTGGAAGGGCTGGAGTGGCTGAAGTCGCTGTGGATGAATGGGCTGTGTGGGATTCTGGCCGATGAGATGGGGCTGGGCAAGACGGTGCAGGCGATCTCGTTGCTGGCCTTCTTCAAGGAGAAGAATGTCTCCGGCCCCTTTCTGATCGCGGCCCCCTTGAGCACGGTGAGTAATTGGGTGGATGAATTCGCCAAATGGACGCCGGGCATTAAGACGGTCTTGTATCATGGGACCAAGGACCAGCGTGCGGAGCTCCGGAGGAAGTTTATGAACATGCGGAATCAGAGGGAGATGGATTTCCCCGTGGTGTGCACCTCCTACGAGATCTGTATGAATGATCGGAAGTTCCTGGCGCAGTATCAATGGCGCTATATCATTGTGGTATGTTCGCATTCTCGTGACGGAGCAGGGGGGAAGTTTCAAGGGGAGTTTTGTCTGACATCAAACCAACTCGCAGGATGAGGGACATCGCCTAAAGAACATGAACTGCAAGCTCATCAAGGAGCTTCTCACCTACAATTCGGCCAACAGACTACTGATCACCGGTACCCCGCTGCAGAACAACATCACGGAGCTCTGGTCATTACTGCACTTCCTCCTCCCGGAGATCTTCAACGACCTGAACAGCTTCCAGAGCTGGTTCGACTTCTCCTCCATGTTGGATAAGAGCGGCCAGACGGATGTCATGGAGCGCCGGAAACGCACCCTCGTGTCGACCATGCACTCCATCCTGAAGCCCTTCCTCCTGCGCCGCGTGAAAACCGATGTCGAGACTTCCCTCCCCAAGAAGCGGGAGTACATTCTGTACGCGCCGTTGACCACCGAACAGAAAGATCTCTATCGTGAGATCCTCAATGGCACCGGCCGGCAATATCTCGAGGAGAAAGCCACCGAGCGTTTGTTGGCCCAGAACGACAGACTGTCCCGCTCGCAGAGTCTAAAGCGAAGCGCGGAGGCGAGCGAAGCGTCGTCTCCTAACAAGAGCCTCAAATCAAGTCGTGCTTCCACCCCGGCCAGCGGAGGTCGGGCAGTAAGACGCAGCAGGGGGCCGCAGAGCTACAAGGAGCTGAGCGATCGCGAATTCAACACGAAGCTGCGCAAGCTTGAGCAGGGTTTGGAGGAAGATCTTGACATTGACGAACCCAGTGAGACCGAGCAAGAGGAGTTGGAGAGGGCCAAGACCATCAAACTAGCCAGTATGTATCACCCTTCTCCGCCACATAAAATCAGGGGAATTCTTTTCTGATACTAACCTTGCACCTCGCAGAGCGAGAAATCGCGCAAAAGAAGATGCAGAACCCAGTCATGCAAGCGCGCCTCGTCTGCAACTCGCCGCACAACTTCTACTGGCCGTGGGGCAGCAGTGACGACCCAACCGCCCTCGACGAGACCCTGGTCACAGCCTCGGGCAAGATGCTCCTCCTGGACCGCCTCCTCCCCGCACTGTTGGCCAAAGGCCACAAAGTCCTGATCTTCTCGCAGTTCAAAACCCAGCTGGACATCCTCCAGGACTGGGCGACGCACCTGCGCGGTTGGCCGTGCTGCCGCATCGACGGCGCCGTCAGCCAGGAGGACCGGCGCGCGCAGATCAAGGCCTTCAACACCGACCCGGACTACAAGCTGTTCCTGCTGAGCACGCGCGCCGGCGGGCAGGGCATCAACCTCGTCGCCGCCGACACGGTCATTCTGTTCGACTCGGACTGGAACCCGCAGCAGGACCTGCAGGCCCAGGACCGCGCCCACCGCATCGGCCAGACCAAGCCCGTCATCGTGTACCGGCTCGCCACCAAGGGCACCGTCGAGCAGACCCTGCTCGAGAAGGCGGACTCGAAGCGCCGCCTCGAGCGTCTGGTCATCCAGAAGGGCAAGTTCCGGAGTCTGCTGGATTCGTCTGCCTCGGCCACCGCCGGGCTGACGCAGTCCGAGATCGAGGATCTGCGCAAGGCCCTCGGCGAGGACGAGTACGAGCGCTTCGATCTGGGGACCGGCACCGATGCCTCCGCCATCCTTTCGCAGGCCGATCTGGATGTGCTCACTGACCGCAGTGAGGAGGCCTACGCCCGCGCCGAGAAGGGGTTGGACGCCGGTGGTCGCGCGTTCATGGCGGTCGAGACTAAGCGGGATGGTAGTGGTTTGATGGAGCAGCTTGTCACCAAGTAATTCTCC